ACAAGCCTTTCCTCCTTACTACTATTGTGGTGCAAATGCATGTTAACTCTTGAAGGCTTCTTGTCTAGGTGATGTAGCTCTTAAGGAAATTGTTGATCCTGCTAAAAGAGCAGCATGGATATCCCACCAGGTGGACCTTGCAAAAAACCAGTATATGGATGGAATTAACATTGATATAGAGCAAGAAGTTAACGAAACCTCCCCTGAGTATTATGCATTGACAGAGCTTGTTAAAGAAACTACAGATGCTTTTCACAGAGAAATACCAGGATCACAGGTAATAATAATGTACCTTTTACAAACATTCACTTTATGAAATGCAAGGGGTTTTGGCAATGCTGTTTAGCATATGAATACGAAAAGTTTATGCAAATCTAAATAGGATATTCTCATGAATGGTTCATTATGGATGTTAGCTGTGATATGGTCTTGTAAGAATCACCCTTTTTGACCTGTATGAATTTAAACAGAAGAGGGGCTTCGAGGATCCATAGATACAACATTACTGCCTTTTGTGAGCTGGCACTTAGTATGGCTTAACGAATTGTTGAAAGTAGGGCAAATACAGCCTTCTGGGGCAAAAGCTTAACAGTGTTTTGGTAAACCCGTCACTAAAGCTTTAAGGATTTGCATCATGCTTCATATTTTTGGTCAGATGGTTTTCATATTATATTTTAATTTCTTTGATGCTAGGGGCACTAGTGGGGCTAGTGTTTGCTTTGTCAGCTGAGCAGCCTCTCCTATAGTTCATTACCATCAAGGTGTATTAAACTGCTACATGTAGGAAATACTGTCTTGAAAAGTTACAGCTTTTTAAAAAGACGAAACGAGCACCTAAGGGCCATACACGATACTAACTTGTGCATTTTTCCTTCAGGTAACATTTGATGTGGCTTGGTCTCCAGCATGCATAGACAGAAGGTGCTACAACTACACTGGGATTGCAGATGCCTGTGACTTCTTATTTGTGATGTCATATGATGAACAGAGCCAGATCTGGACAGACTGCATTGCAAAAGCCAATGCCCCTTACCTGCAGACTTTACTTGGTGAGGACAAAATGTCTCCTCAGGAGTCAGAACATTTCCATTTGTTTACATCAATAGATAGAAAAGATTGACGTTTCTTTCTTTTTGTTTTTTGGTTGCATTGAAGCTTTCGAGTGTGCTCAAATATGTGGTGTCCTGGTGTGAAAATGATAGCTCTGCTCCTTATGACACTACAGGCAGACTTCTAGCAGTCGTGTGTTGTTACTTGTGATCAGTAGCTGTCAGGAGTGAAGAGCACTAGAATGGCAAATGGCAACCAGAGCAATAGTGTCTGCCTGGGCTTGCAAAGAACCGGAAACATTTCTTTGTCCTTGTGAGCTTCTGCTAAGGGCATATGGTTTTAACTGTGAGCAACTAGAGCAATTACTAGCATCTCAGTAGAGCAGACCTCTCTAAATAGAGTGTGCAGGTAGAGGTAAAGGAGAGCTTGCCCCAGCCTCTGTCTTGGGATCATGCAAGTCCTATATTGGCTCTGGCTGTAGATCAGTTGTAAGAATAAAAAGCATAGGAAAAGGGAGTAATGCATCCTAATTTTTATTTCCTTCAAATCTAGGCTATGAAGAGTACATTACTATGGGCATTGATCCTAAAAAGCTTGTGATGGGTGTCCCCTGGTATGGCTATGACTATGTCTGCCAAAACCTATCTACGGTAAGATGAAAGATTGTTCATTTGCAAACATACTGTTAATTTTTTCCTTGGAAAGATACAACTAGATTTTGGAAATCTTGTTTTTGGATTAGGAAATACTATGGTCTGATGGATAAGAGCATAAAGCTGGGATACAAGACAGAATCTTTTGCTTGGCTGATAACTGATGAGCAGTGTGTTAGCAGATAAGGCATTTTATCTCCTTGGACAACCTGAACCCCCCTATACCCAAGCAGTGTGTTTGACTAAGGAGCTATAAATGTTATCTGTATGAGAAGAGATGATGTCCAAAGGTCCTACAACACTTGTATGTGCCTTCTCAGCACCATCACTAAGCTCACTGTCTAAAGACAGGTGCAACAAACCATAGCAAACCTGTGACTGTTAAAGCATAGCAGTTTATGGAATCTCAGACAACATTATACTTATGAAAAATGTAAGAGTGGATTAAAAAGAGAAAAGATAACTGTATAAGCTGAATGATATCCATTCAATCCTGTATAACTACAGAGTAAACAAAATTTAACTTCTAGTTTACTTTTCTCTACATGTAGTGTATCTGCCAGAGTTGCTTGAAGATTAGGGATTTTTGAGACCCCAATGCCTTTTGTGAATTTTCTTGGCTGTACTGCTGTTTTGGAGTTCAATTATATCTATGTAACATGAAACTCATGCCTTCTGCTTTTTTTTTCAGGATCATGTGTGTTCTCTTTCCAAAGTACCTTTCCGTGGGGCTCCTTGCAGTGATGCTGCAGGTAGACAGGTCCCCTATGGAATTATCATGAAGCAGGTGAACAGTTCTCTTTCAGGGGTGCTGTGGGATGAGGTACAGAAGTCTCCATTTTATGAATACAAGGTAAGCATATCTTTCTAAGACACCATGTTGTGGAGAAAACACTCGTGAACCGTACTTCTTTGACTATAAAGTTTTCAGGATTAGATTCTTCCATTTATGTTTTCTACTTATTTTTTCCGGTGTAGTAAAGGATTGCTGGACTTCGTATCTTGAATTTCTAGTGTGAAAGAGGGGTGCAGTGCCTGAAGACTACAGGAGTAATAAAGATCTTCATTACTTTGTGTTTTCTTGAGATACTGTATCATGGCAAAAAAGGACATCTTGGCACTAAGAAATCCTATAGCTCTGTCCTTCACTGTTACAGTTACTTTCATGAGGTTATGAGTGCTTAAAACAGATTTTGAGATGATCTTTTATCTCAGTGCCTTGCATGCATGTTCTTTTCTGCATTTGCTTTCTACATAGTCACAGTGAATGAGTCCATAAATGATTGTGCTTACAAGAACACCACAGTGTATGCATTTTGTCTTGTTTCTTTAGACATGGTTTAAAGTTTCACGTGGTGTTGTAAGCAACAACCAGGTCAAAGCAACATAACTTGGACAAAATTTTATCACCTCCTCTAAAACTGTTTATTGCTAAAAAAACCCTCTCTAACTAAATTCACCTGTTATGTTAGATAGTGTATCTGAAATTTTACCTGTATCTAAAAAAATATTAAAATACAAATTAGCTAAGTCTTTTCATCTGACTAGAGTTAAATTGTGCCACTGTTTTATAACATAGATCCTACAAGTAAAACAACAGCCAAATATTTGGCTTAGAATTTTTAATTATCCTGTGTGAAAAATAATTGGTTAATCAGGAAAATATCACTATGTAAATCTACGTAGCTTGTATATCTCAGTTTTTAATTATACCTTTAACTGCATTCAACAGAAAATGTAATCAAAACCCAATGAACTTTAATGTATCATATTCATATAGATAAGTAGATACTGACACTAGTCCTTAATTGTTTTTCTAGGATTCTCTTGGTCACTTCCACCAAGTCTGGTATGATGACCCTCGCAGCATCTCTCTAAAAGCAGCCTATGTGAAGAATCGAGGTTTAAGGGGCATTGGCATGTGGAATGGAAATAGTCTTGACTATTCCAGGGAAGCTGTAGCAGAACAACAAACTGAAGCAATGTGGCAAGCTCTGACACCGTAAGAACTATCTGAACCCTTGATTTAGAATGATGAAAATTTGTAATTTTTCGTTTTGGCTTACACTATCAGAAATTTTGGCCTTATATAAATATACTATGGTTACAAAAACTTTGCAAACTAGACAGATTAATCTTGTTGTTTTATATGCAAAGCTGTATTTTCATTCTTCAAAAAGCTCCAATGTTGCTTTAACAGTGGGGTTTTTTTTAAGACTGCTCCTTTTTTTCATTTTTCACAATTACCATAAGTTGGTTAAAGCTTGAACCCAATGTGTATCTGGTAACAAGTAAGACCCATTGGTGAATTTACAGGGGCAGTCTCATAATGATCCTTTGCTAAAGCTGCCTGGTGCAGGCAAGTATTCATTCTGGAATCACATGGTGCAGTCTCAGCCTTCTGACTTCCCAACCCAGCCTATATTTCAGCTAAGTCACTCTAGAATCAGATGAAACAAAATACTGGAGAGACAGATTGTTGTTTACATCCAACTTGGTGAAGCCTGTGTTTGCATTTGGTTACTCTTCCAGAGATTAAAAGATTTTATAGACTGAAGAAATTATATAACATGAAATAGTTGCCATTAAGATTTTTATCAGACTTGTTATTAGAAACCCCAGTTTCACTGTTTATGTATCACGAAAATTCCTTTGTTTCAAAAGCCAAAAATCTTGGACTTTAGGAGGGAACATTAATATGTAGAGGACTTGGATGATGTTTCCTTCCATTCCAAACTATTTTACTTCCTGGAAACTAGAATTCAGCAGCTTATTTAATGAACTGTATATCTATTTTCCCACACACTCTAAGATTCATTCAGTAGCCTGTTGTTTGGTTTTATGGGGTGTTGCCTGAGGGATAATAGCAGGTTATATTTTCTTTCTAGTTCATATTTTCATAAAATAATTTGTCTGGAGAAAATGTGTAACTTTTTAAAATATCTGTAGTGATGTAAAGATTGTCTGATGTTTACAAGATTTTTTTGTTAAATAAAATGCTTCTTCATTAAGGTTGGTAAACAATGTTGCCTGTCTTGTGCTTTACTTGTTCTACAGCTTACAGCCCACATTGCTTGTCTGCTTCTCAGAACTGTTTCACAACCAGATTAAAGTGCAACTGTGCCCTTCTTAAGTGACTCCATTAATTAAAAATTTATTTCATTAGATATATGCAGTCAGTTGTGGGTTTGGTTTTTTGGTGGTGGTGGGGTTTTTTTGGTTGGTTTTGGGGGGGGGGGGGCATTGGTGTTTTTATTGTTGTTTTGTTGGTTTGGGGAGTTCTTTGTTTCTTTGGTTTGAGTTGGGTTTTTTGTTTAATGAGTTGGTTTTTTCCCCTTGCTAAATAGTTCCCATAGTATAGCAGCACTACCGTAATGGCTACTGAGGAAAAGACTAGAAGACTTCATGAGTTGTCTGACTGATTGATACTACACGTGATGGAAAACAGAAGGTGAAGCCTACTGCTCTTGCATAAACAAAAAAAATTCCCCTGAAAAATCAGAAGGCTTTTCACTAGAACATTGGTTTGTAGGTTTGAGGAGACACTGTTAAATTTTATATACAATATGTATGTATCTACACAAATATAGGTACTTGAGAATGTGTATTACTACTTACATTTATATGCTAAAATACTGTGAGATATTTGCTGAATTTAGAGGTCTTCTGGAGTGAATATCTGACCTGCAAAATCCTCACTGAGGGCCTGATGACTTAATAATAAAACTCCTCCTTGTAGCAGTCAGGAATCACGAGTTGATATTATTTTTTTTTTAAATTTAGGTTCAGATCTTCCAGTAGCTAGTTGCCTGCTCTTGTATCTTAAATAAGACACAATTCTGAAATAGAGAATGTGGGATTCAACTCTGAACTGAGAAACAGTGGCTGCAGTTTTAATAGTCAATTTAATACTTCAGCACAAAAATCTTTGTTAAGTCCTATCTTTAAGAAAATAAATTGGATAATGGGTGGTATGATTCAAGACATTTCTAAGTTAGTCCTTTTGAGAGCTGCATAATTTTCTCATCATATAACCCATTTCCCATGAGTGTTTCACTTCCAGTAATAAATACAGCCTTGACAGCTTTTTAGCTGAGATAAATTCCTAGAATGTTATTGTTCTGCTTAATATAATACATCTGGTTTGCAAAGAGGCAAACAGAAGAGCTAGAAAAAAGTTACTATGGAGAGGTTTCTGATTTCTCTTTCAGAGAATTGTTAATCTTGGCACATGCATGAGCTTGGACTTTGGGAAAAGCAGAATATGCAATAGTGTAAGTTGAACCAGGATCATCGTTATGCTCGTTCAAGAGAAAGCTTCCCTCTTCCTCTAACTACAGAAGACAGTTAATGTCCATTTGGCTTTCCTAGTAAGTAAAGGAACAAAACCAGCTAGATATGAAATAAGCTGAGATTATATTGCATAATAATATAGTAGTAATACATTGGTAGTTTATAGATAGGCATGCTTATAATGACAAAAATAACTTCAGTAAATAGCTAAATAAAGGATTACTGTTGCTGTTTTACTACAGAACTTGTATTTTAATAATTTTCCAAAAATGTAATGTGCATGCCTGCAAATAAGAACAGGAGGTTATGGATTATAGGTATATTTGCTTAGTAGCTATTTTGTTAATCAAAGAACATCAGCATACCACTGTGATGTTACACAATTCACTAATTTGCACTTTAAATATAACAGCTTAGTTTTAGACACATTACTAGCTTAAACTGTATGTGTAAGCAGCTGACTAATCTTACAGTAAGAGAAAGATTTAAAACAAAGTGAGCTGCAGTACCTCAGTAGCCTAGTATACAAATTCCACAACATTTATACAGCTGATGTCTTTTTACAAGATAACTTCAAGAACATATAAACGAATTCTCATTTTCTATATATATTAAAAAGCTTTTGTGGACTTGACAGATGTTAAAGTCATGTCATCTTCTTAAATTCCTGATTTTCTGTACTGGAGAATTAAAGCAAATGAATCTTCTTCTGTGTCAGTTCCGCTCTCAGTGCTCGTAAATCAGATGCTGCCTGCTTTCTCAGCTGCACAAGAATCAGTAATTTAAGGAATGGCAATTTAAGGAAGTTTTATTGAGTCGACATGCATATAGGTTTATATAACTAAGGCTGAGTTTTATACAGGATGGCTGAATACAGGATACATCATTCATCTTTAAAATTGTACATGTCCAATTAGATAGCTTAGTTCTAGCACTGCTTTCTTCTGTACTTTGCCTTGCTGTTTTGGAGACAACTGCAAAATTAATTGTTCTTTTCACTCCTTGTTATACAATGTCATCCACCCTAGAGTTTTTAGTAAACAGGAGGTATGGTCAATGTCTGTGATGAAGAAGACTTCTATTTCAAGCTTTTAGAGCTGAAAAGCTATCCAGTGTACAGACCAATACTATCATCTTCCTTGCAAAAAGAGCCATAGGCATCACGGGTATAGAAAAATGCACATGAAGAGGACTTCCATCTGCTTGGACAGCCATTATCTTTTTTTTTTTTTCAGGTTTTTGGTTTGGTTTTTTTTCCTTTATACCATTTTTTTTTTGCCTTAGCCATGGTCTATTTATTACTGGTCAGTGCCTTACCACACCAAGTGTATTTTTTCAATTACCTTTTGAATGAAATGGGATTTTTATGAAAAAGATTGTAAACCTTAGCTTACATAGTATCTTGAAAATCTAAGTTGTTTGAATGCCATACATTCAAAATCATCTAATAACCCGGCGTTCTGGAGCAATTTGACTCAAGTGATAAAGTTGCAACAACTAACACGATAAAACTAACAGCATAAACCAAGAAATGTTTAGCAAATATTTACATCATCTAATAATTAGAAGATCTCATTTTTTTTACACACTGTCACATTTTGACTGGTTTAGTGAAAAGGCAGAGTACCTTAATTTCTGTTATGAGTTTCATTTTTGTATCATCTAGCTTCCTCTGCAGGTGATCGAGTTCATGCTGCACTGTAGTAATCCGGATGATTGTGTAATTCTGTGTGAAACAACAACAACAAAACCTGAAGTGCAGCATTACCACATCTCTTCATTCACTGGGTGCTACTTCACCACTCAGAAACAATCCTCTAAACTCCTTCCAGCTCCCCTGCTTTCCTGCCTGCCTGATGCCTGCCTGGCCAGCACGTAGCTCACGAGGGGTGGAGAGCATACTTGTGCTTAGCCTAACAGCTCATTAAATCCTGGCTGTCTTCTCTGGGGGCTGGCCAGTACGTACCTGCTGGATGCATGTTAAGTTGTACATATGCTTCATGTAAGGCCTCTTTGTGCATAGCCAGGGAGACCTAAAAAAACCCCCTGATTATACCCCCTAAAAGGAGCAATAACATATCTGACCATAGCTAAATAATGTAATGTCAACCCTATTCATATTTTTATTTTGTAGATATTTATTTCAAGATAGGTCAAATAATACACCATAGTATAATATACACTCTTAGACTGTACATACACGAGAAAGGGACATTTATTTTTCCTAGGCTAGCTTCAGATTTGACAACAGGGTTCCATTAATGCATTGAGAAAATTAGCAGATACCACTACTGGGAAGGATGTTTTCCCTTTTTCTTTTATCTTTTCTTTTTTTAATCCCTCTCTGACTTTCCTAAGAAACTTGCAGTTGCACAAGTTCAGGTACAACCACTTCAAAAGCCTCAGGCACGTTTTGTCTTCCAATTTCATTACCTCTGTATATGAATTTGGGGATGGGAACAATATAGAACTGCACAATTTATTAATCATTACTATATATCATGCCTATCATTAATCATACTGAACAGAAGGAGATTTGTTACAAGAAGGTGCAAACATGAAGCAGAAAGAATCAAATCCTCAGACTCAAACATTTCTGCAGTCTTTTTGAGACAAATGGGCTCAAGGAATTTTATACCTCAGAGCATTGAGGGGTATTTGGCTGCTGAAGCTAGTTTACAAGTCATTGGTTGGTGATTTGTTTCTTTAAATTATATCTTATAGAAAAAAAAACAACAACAGGCTGTATAAAAAGAGATAATAAATAATACAAGCAAATACCTTGGAGTTTGTTGTATTGTTTGGTCGGTTTTGGCTATCTCTGGCTTCCAATTGCAAGAGCAATTTCTGGTGGTAAACCTCTAAATCTTGTTGTAATTTGTTTAAAGTGTCCTCCAGTGAAACTGTAGCTTTCTTAGTTTCAAAGTACTTCTTTTTCCATTCCTCACGAACTGCACAGTGAAACAGTAATACTGTTTATTCTTGTTCACCTATCATAAGGTCTGCTGAAGACAGTCCTGACCAGCTGATCTCACAGGATTCAGCTGGCCAATGCACACACTGAAACATGGCAGTAGGTTTCTTTTAAAAAAGCATTTAGAGAAAAATATTCATTAAAATTACATTCGCTGTTAATGCAACTGAGTTTTCACACAGGCACCTGCAACAAAAGGTTCTATCTGTCCACCAAGATAAAACACAAGGCCCAAACCCAAAGTTTCCTTCAGGCTGGCTGTTCTGCAGGTTTCAGCTGCACAGAAGTGCTCCAGGCTTGTGAAGCTGGTATGCCCAGCACAGTCTGAAGTCCACAGCTTTACTGTAACAGAAAATGTAGCACTGTAGATTTATGCAAAATTTGATCTCTTTATGACCAGAATTTGAACAACTGAAACTTACCCAAAAGAACTCAGCTCTTGGGGACTGTACGTATGTAACTGAGAGTGACTGTCGGGATGGCAATCTTAGGAGGATATTCAATACAGACTAGATCACTGTTCCTGCAGAATATGCTCTTTCCTTAATACCTTGTGAAGAAACATGCTTGCAACATGCACTTACTTATGAAAGTCTACAGGTCAGATAAAAATAATGTAGAGAGACGCTTCTTAAAAAACCTGCAGAAGCTGTTTGAATCCTTGTGAAATAACCTTTATTTTTACCTAACTGAAAAACATAATGTAAGACAATGCAGGAGCCATTTAGGGCTTATCTCAGCAAGGTAAATTAGTTTGCCTTGCACCTCCATGCTACTACGGAGTCACTGCTTCAAGTAACCAAGTCTGGGGTTTTTAAAGTACAACTTCACCACGCTGTGGTGAATAACTGAAAGAATTGGCTTCTTGTCTCCTTAACTCCTGTAAGAGTTGAGATGCCTAGTGATTTAAATGCATTAAAGGACAAAGTGAAAGCTCTCAAAACTTCATAATGATTAAATCTCATCTCTCTATAACTGGAATGTGACCTAGGGAGGATAGTTTTAAGTATAAACTTAGAAATAATTTTACAAAGAAAATTCCTGTAAAATTTGAATGAGATTTGACCTTGTTAAAAACCAAGGTTTATCAAACTTGTCACAACAGACTTGCAACTTCCATGTCATTAGAGATATGCAAAAATTATGCTGCAATTTACTCAAAGCCTCATCAACACAGTAAGCACCAGCTAAAGGCAGGATTAGAATACATCAGCTACCCTGGGCCTCAAAGAGTGAAGCAGCCTGTAGTAGCTCTCTGGGTACTGCACATACATGAGACACAACTTCAATAGTTTATAAAAGTCAGGATAATTTTAAATTTATAAGACTGCCAAAAAAAAAGTGGAAGGAAACATTGCAACCTTGAATTTTTCCAGCATCCTGTTATACAAATGAGTCTTCTTGGAGCTATTAGTCAGCAAACTGCTCTCTCTGTAATTAAGCTCACTGAAAAGGAGACAAACATTTTCACATTGGTTTCAGTATAATTTCTCAATCATTCCAAATTCCAAAATAAATTAAAAGTATACCACGGTATCTCCTCAGCTTATTTTGTTCCAGTAGTCCTTTAGCTTTTTTGATCAGTTCTTCTCTAGTTTTTTCCATATGCCTTCTGTCTTTCTTCATTTGTTGCAATTGTTCTGCCATCTTGTTTTCTAAAGATATTAGAATTATATGTAGCAAGTGTCTGAATACTCTAAGTAGGAAGGATCAATCAAGATTTTTGTAATGCTAATCACAAATCATGCCAAAAGCTCTGTCAGAGCAAGCAGTAGAAATTATTTTATTTTAATAAATTAATCTCTAACTTTTCAAAATGGCTGGCACTTCAGAAAAAGGCAGAAATCCAGCATGCATCCAGGCATTCATATACACACGAACAAGCAAACATCCTTTTATATGTTTAGACAATGTATCACTAACATTATATCATCAAGATACAGATGCACTCCATACATTGAAGACTCTTGCCACATGAAGCCAAAAAAGCCTCCAAAAGACTATTTCCTGCTCAAAATACATTGCAACATAAAGCGTAGCGAAATCTTGCCTTAAACTCCATCTGGTCCTAAGCAGGAAAGCATCTCAGACTTTAACTAGTCCGCAACAACAGGTCAAATTCTCACTGTCTTCTCACTATCCTCTTCCTCCTCCACCACAGCAGAGGATCCTCAGCAATACTACTAAGATGTTTTCTTTGCTCCATTCTCACTTGAGCCTACGGTTTGTCATCCCATCTCTCTCCTTTTCTCCTTCCATCCACAACTCCACAAGCTGGGTTTTCTAGCACTGGGAAACTGCCATGCTCTAGGACAGCCCATGCAATCATATATGCCTGGAATTTTCCAACCATAAATTAAAATTTATAATAATACTGTGAATGAATGTATGTACAAATTCTTTTGTAAAGTAGGTATTTGTGTCTTCATTGACTCTTCAGTCTTGATTAAATGTTCACTTCCCTGCAATTTCTTGGAATCATACTCACTTGCTGCCTGAAGTACAGGAACTTGAGCTGGATTTACAGAATGTAAAGGTGGACTAGGAGGTGAAATGTATTCTTTTGGACAAGTAAGATGATTTTGCTTGCTTTCATCTGCCTATAGAGTCAAAAGACACAACTATAAGTACATAACCATAATCCTGAATAGTTACTTTAG